CGCGTATTTGCAGTCTATCTTTAGGCGCTGTTTTGTGCAATCAGTCTGGCCGAGGCAAGACGCGAAGTGCACCACAGCTAATCTATGACATTTGCTGCTAGAAAGATTGCGTTCATGGCACCAAAGTCCATTCGAGTGTCAGTGCGTCAGCAAGCGTTTTATGTAAGCACAAGAAATGAAAAGATATGAATAGCCGCCTAGGTGTATGCAATACAACTACAACTATTTACAGTAAGTGACAGCGCCATAAATACAATCGCATAGCAACAAGGCAATGTAAATATTGTAGTTAGCAGCATTACAACAACATTGAAATATGAGCTCAATTACAATGCGCAGCTTGAGTTCAACACTTGTATAAGAACCTAAGTAAACGAGACCGCAAATGAGACTGAGTGCAGCGAATTCCACGGACGTTAATTGAATAAGCACAGTATGGCCGCTGAATTAACTAAATGTGGTTGTTATTAGTGAAGTAAGCGTTTAATTAAATGAATTATTTTACTAGATAGTAGATGTTGATGAGACGAATTTCTGTTGCCAAGAATAGCACACGCATACAATATGCGTACAACAACGCGGTTGCATGTATGTATTTCCTAACGGAAGCGTAGTGCCGTGTGTAAAATGAATGACAACTCAATTTCATTCCACTTTTATGAATTTCACTTCGCAGAAGTGTTATATTCTGATTTATTATAGCTGATTAATTCAAAAAAATCAACTTTTGCTTCTAAAACCGACAGCTCTAATCGCTTGCCAATAATAAAAAAATCGAATTTCCCACACAAACTTTCAGCACGCTGCCTGTTGCCTGCAAAGTATATTCAAAAATGTCGGAAAGGTGAGAAAGTGCAAATAAATTCGACAGTTTTGCACTTTCATGACAGGCGAGCTGGCAATTTCCGACATTCATAAGACGCCGCCGACGGTTTGAGTGGCCCATTACTCACGCTTAGTGGGATACTACTATCAGAACGAAAGTGAAAGTGAATTTGGAAAAATATCAAAAAACGATAAACCAAAAAAAAATTGTGAAAAATTTAGATGAGAGAGTGCAGAGTGAGAGAAAAGTGCCAGCGGCTGAGTCAGCACAATGAATCGTTAGCAATCGCTGTAAAAGTGGGAAATAAACTGTCAAGGCAGTAGAAGAGCTCAATATATTGTAGAAGAAGACGGATTACAGGATTATGTTTGGGTTGTCAGTATAAAGTGGGCGTTTGAAAATCAGTGGTTGCAGGACCGGTGAACTAAAGCGGATGAGAAGAAACAGTTTAGGCGAAATAGGTAAAAGCAGCATAGGTAGGTGCCAACTTATCCATGCTGCTAAAATGTATAGGATATATAAACACACACAAACTATAAACAAAGTCTTTCACAAAATCGGAAATATATACAACTTATAGCTGCTGTTAATGCCTCAAACTAAACGCACAAAAAAAAAAAAATTATGGATATACCGTGCTGAAGAAATTTTGTCGAATATCTAAACATTTAGCTTTTACTATGTTTATGCCTTCTGAACTTAATGTCGATTGCTTAAAAGTTGCTATAAAAACTTGCAAGCATAGCTGTCGGTACAGCTTCCTGTATAGACTTCGTCTCATTTTAGTTAACGACACGCAGTACGCAGCTCTACCTAAAAATTATGCAATAATACAATTTGTTAGTAAGTAGTAGGAAAAAGTGCATGCAGCAAGTTTAAATATTTATGCAGTTGTTAAAATTTGCTGTGTGCGGCACGTATTTATGAAATTCGGTACAGTACAGTAGTTAAAAACTACGCAAAGTTTTGCATAACTTTTACCTAAATTCGGTACAGTTTTTTACCCGAATTCGGTACAATTTTTTAAAACTAAATAATTTAGAAAATGATTTTCTTATAATTTTCACATTTAGTTAAAAATTACACAAACTTTTGCACAACTCTTACCTAAATTCGGTACATTTTTTTACCCGAATTCGGTGCAATTTTTTAGAATTAAATAATATAGAAGATTTCTATTTTATAACTGGTTTGTTATAACTTATACCTAAATTCGGTACATTTTGTTAAACAAATTCGGTAAAATTTGTTTTATAACTAACTAATTCAAAAGAAATTGTCGCGGTTAGTTGCAAAGTTTTGTATGACTTATACCTAAATTCGGTACAGTTTTTTACCCTAATTCGGTACAAATTTTTTTAGACTAAACATAAGTTAAAAAAAATCTAATTTTCTTTAAAAGCTCTTTTAAAAGTTATTAAAAAATTTCGGTGTGAACGCTGCATAGGTAAATTCGTTACGAAATTTAAAATTCTGCCCAGTTTGCAACGCAAATTGTTCTTAGCGCTAAAATCAGAATTACTGAAACTGTAAGCCTTTCATATAAAAATCTTGGAAATTTTTTATCAAGATAGCACGCCTATACCGCACCCCCACACTTATTCCTAACACACACACACATTTTTGTATATATAATTAAGATTTTCAAACAGTAGCTGATGTTTTGAAATTTCAGCGTTTGAGTATAAAAAATCTCTTTATTATGTCTTTATCTAAATAAAGAAGTCAAAAAACATCAGAAAGATGCTTGGCAGTTAATCCTCCAACAAATAAACAATTAAAATAATGAAATCTTCAGAATCGTGCGCGCAACCTATTTGTGTAAATAGAAGATAGCACAACATATGAAAAGCATAGCGACGCTTTGCGAGGCGGGCCAACCGGTCGTATGAGCAATTTTTAAACAAACCGCGGATGTGTAATCAAATCTCCAGTAAATAAAAGCGAGCGATAAGCGGTCGTGTAATGGCAGTGGCCAGCACGAATTGCCCAACAGCTGTGGGGCGTGTGGCGCGCTGGGCTGGCCAATTTGAATGGCTCTTTATTGCCAACTCATTGAATATGCGCTGCTGCAAAATTTTATTATTTATTTGTTTTACTTGAAGGGGAAGTGAATTATAGCGTGCCTGTGTAAATATTTATCTAGTAATCTATCAAAAAATTATACAAAATGCTAAAGCGGGAGCAACATAAAAAAGTTCCAAGGTTAGAATTAACGATTAAAGAAACCTTATAGATAAAAGAAACCTTCTAAAGAATTATTCATTAGATATGAGTGCAATAAGTACAGCAAAACTCACTACTTTTTTATACCCTGCACAGCGCATACCATATTAAGTTGACTACGAAGTTTGTAACAGCCAGAAGCAAACGTAGGAGACCCAATAAAATATATATATATATATAATATATGTTAACACCCAGAAGGAAACGTCGGAGACTCTATAATATACATATATAAATGAAGAGTATGACGAGCAGAGTCCATTTAGCCATGTTAGTCTGTCTGTATATATGCGAACGATTCCCACAGTCAGACGTATTTGTCTCCGCAAGCAGCTGCTTATATGTGGGAACAGCTGATATCGGCTACAATAGCATATAGCTGCTATACAAACTGAACCAGCGGAATCAAATGCTTGTATGGAAAACTTTTTCATTTGACGAGTTATCTTCTTTATGGCATGGATTATTGCGTAAGACAGTAAAGCAATCTCTGAAAAAATGGTTTAGATCGAGTCACTATAGCATATATGTAGCAGTCATACAAACTGACCACCCAAAATACATGTAAGAGTTTTCTTGTATATGTGTAGGGTATTATAGCTGCGGTGCAGCCGAAGTTAACGTTTTTACTTGCTTTTTATTAATTTTGCTTAATATTTTAAGCTGAAAAGTCTTGGAATATTTCTGTGGTGACATGCTCACTCGAAATTTAGTCCAAGCCTTTCAAGCGCGGCAGTTAATTGCTTGCACAGCTGGCACTTTTCGCTATGAAAGTGCATTAAACCCATTTGCTGCAGCTGAAGGTGAAAGTCAAGGCCAACAATTAGTATTTCACTTCGAATTTAATTTTTTTGAAGCGAATTATGGCAGCGCGGAATTTGAACTTTGGATTTCATTTGCTGTTAAAGAATTGTTAGCAATTAAGCCGCAATTAAATTGCATGAAATAAATCGGAAACGCAGCAAGAATTATTGGCAGCCAAAAATAATTTTGAGCATTTTGGTTTGCAGGAAAATAATTTGTTGAGGAATGTATATTTACTGAATGCCGGCGTGTTTCGTCTATAAGCAAATTTCTTTTTCGAAATACAGTACTTACCTAGTTCACCTACTCATATGTTTTGCACACGACTGCATTGTAACCGAAAATGTTAGAGTTCTACAAGTTTTGAGTCAACAACGAGTTATCACTGGATTTTATTGGACTCGCTTTCATAGCAAAAATATTTTGAAATATCTTTAGTTGCTTCATGAAAGGCAAACACAGTTAAAAAAAACTGTTTGTTGTTGCACGAATAAATAAATACAATTAAATGCTGCAAATATAAACTGCAATGCATTTTAATGTAAAAACTACCTTCTACGTGCTGCTGCCAATAACCCAACGTTATCTGTTAAGTATTTCACACAGACATGCAACAATGCCACACATACCTACAGCAATGTGCTAGAAATCAACTCAACACCTCCAACAGCATAAAAATAAGAAAAAAGGTTTAGAAAACGAATAAGTTCATAACAACATCATTACCATAATCCAGCAGCTACTTGCTACTTAGCGGATATCTTACAAGTTGCTCACACACACACACATACTACACGCTTAAAAGAGATTGGCACTCACACCGACCTGCCTCACAGCGCGCCTACCTGCCACTCATCACCTGCACTGGTACCGAACCCCACCAACCACTGCTGCTGCGGCCGTTTTCACGCTGCCGCCAGCCGCTATTGAGCGCCTCAGCACAGTCGCATTTCAGTCTCACAACGGCTTTCAGCAGCGACGCGCATACAACGGCGAACTGTTGCAAACGACACAGCATTCGTTTAAGTAAACAAGTGAAAAGAAATAGAAATAATAAATGCTTTAGTTGCGGATAAACAAAAGACGCTTCAGCAACAGTCAAATGAGAGAGATACAAGCGTGTAGAAAGCAGCAATCAAGGTGAGGGAGAACGGCGCTTAAGTTTCATTAAGAAAGTCTGTGTAGGAAAAGCGCACTTTTTTCAAACGCGTATACCAGAAACTATCACATCACTACACACACACACGCACCGAAAGCATAAACAAAGCGCTGTGGGTAGTGATGAGCACTGTTAGCATTGCTTTAAGCGCAGATTAAATTAGCTAATTTCGCGTAAATTGCATTGAAATAAAAGCAGTGAATTCTAAGATAAGCTATCCGCGCGCAGTGGTGCTACCTCAGTTGCAACGAGAAAGACGGACTTGGTAAGTGAAATTTAAAATGGTAACTAGTGACGGACTAGTGCGCAGGTAAACATTACATTTTAGCAAGAAAATTTCTAGTTATTTATTTAATTAGTATTTTTAAATTGGATACTGACTAGTACGCATAGGACTAGTGTCGCACCAGTTACGGAATGTATTCTGATTCCAAAAAAAAAAAAATTTAATAAAATAAAATGTTAAGAAACTTCAGTCGACGAATTTTTATATAATTTTGCAAATGCAAGTATATATTTACTGCAGCAGGCAGGCTTGGTTGCGTACTAACTGCCGCATGTTTGTTCAACCTTTCAACAGCTTTAGCAGAGCATGTGAAACATTTAGCGGCCCACATGTGCGCAAAATCGTAAACAATTCAACAAATTGCATTATAGAAATCTCATATTTTCAATTTCGGCGGTAAAAAAAAACAGAAGCGAATTTTAAGGTCTAAAAGTGCTAAAATATTTCCAATTGCATAAATTCATTAGTAATCCCACCAAAATCGCACTTCAACAAATCGCTTGTAGACTTTCTTTTACGATTTTATTATTGCACTGTCCAGCTGACCAAATTTATTATTGCCAGACTCTTTTTGATTGCGGATCAATCAAATGTCATCCATGGCGTATGCGTCACTTGCACGCTCAACTTTTTCACATATACCTTTGTATGTATATGTATGTATATACACGTATATGTATGTATACATTCGTGTATGTACGCTTTAGTATTATATTTTTGGTTTGCAGACACTTATGTAAGTACATATGTATATATTTATTTGTTCGGGCCTAAAATGGTGTGCAGCGCTGAAAGACAGCATTTGTTTGCACAAACAATTAGCAGGCGGAAAGAATACACAAAATGTGTGAACTGACGAAATACACACGTGATAAGAATAAAAAAGCAGAATAAATTGCTGAGGCTATTATTAAGTGGAAAACGAATTGATATGAGATATGAAGACTAGAAGAAGTTGATATGCTGGTAAAATGAGAACTAAAGCATTGAAAATAATATTTACTTCGGTAATTGCAAGTTTAGTTGTGATTAAAAACTGACCCAATTATTTAAAAGCGTTATATTTAGGTGAAAGCTCTAACTAAAAATATTTAAATATAATATTTTTCATTTAAAGCATAAGGCGCTACTTAGAAAATTTTTAATGTGTAAGCTTCTTACAGATTTTAATGAAAGTTCGCGGAATATGAACCTGAAAGCTTGTTTACTAAAAATTAAATCGGAGTACAAAATACTTTTCTGAGCTGATGATGTTTAAATACTACGCTTTAAATTTAAAAGCACATACAAAATATAAAAGCTTAAGAATATATGAAAGCTTGGTAAGCGAAAGACGCACTAGCTAATTTTAATATGAATAGGTTTAAAAATAAAAAAAATGTAATTTAAAAGCAAATGCAAAACATGAAAGCTTAAAAAAGCGTTATATTTAGATAAAAGCTCTAACTAAAAATATTTAAATATATTATAAATATGTTATTTTTCATTAAAAGAATAAAGCACTATTTAGAACTTTTTTACTGTGTAAGCTCCTTACAGATTTAAATGAAAGTACGGACATGAACCTGAAAGCTTGTTTACTAAAAATAAAAACGGAGTACTTTTTTATTTTTACTTTTCTGAACTGATGATGTTTAAATAATAGGCTTAAAAATTAAAAGCAACTGCAGAATATGAAAGCTTAAAAAAAAATGAAAGCTCAGTAAGCGTAATACGTGAAAGCTAATTTCAATATTGATTGGTTTTAAACTAAAAAAGTCAATTTATTTTAATTAAAAAAATTACACCAGTCATGACTTTTAATACAAAAGCTCAGCAGTATGAGCTTTTTAAAAAGGTGGTATTTAATGAAAGCTAAATAAATTAATGCCACAAACTTATTAAGCGCTTTGCTTGCTATTGAATAATAAAAAGCTCAGCAAAAGTTTTCAAAATTTGTTATTCATAACGAATTTTATAACGGAAAATTGACAGATTAAATTTTAATAGTATACTGAAAATGGCAGCCATCATCCACTCAAAATGCCTTTTGACAGTTTCTGGCTTAGTATTTTTCCCTTTCATATTTTTTCCTCCTTGAAGTTTCCTCACAAAAGCTTAGGCTCAGCCGCTACTTTTTGCAATTTAACAATTTTCTCAATCTCCATTAGTAAGAGTGACTCTGTGCAGCTTTACCTAAGAGATGTTTGGCAGTCTATTCAATCTAACAATTAAGTCAAGCATCCTAATTGAATTCTTGAATGCAACAAAGCCATATAAATCATTTACAGCGACTTCAAACATTTTGCCAAACACACTAGAGAGGTAAGTTTTCCGTCTCTTGAGGCACACATACACCTATAAAAGTGCTTAGAAATAAATCACTTTCAAATAGGCTTTAAAAAGGAATCGGAAATGAATGGCGCAAAGTTGGCTCTCTTCACACAGTCGCTGTCTAGCGTTTACTATTGTGCGCCATTAATAAATAACTGTATAAATAGTTGAAAGGCTTTCGCAAAGCATGTAGATATGTATGCACAATCATTGCAAATCCTTTGTGCTGCTGTCGTTGACACAGCAGCATAAAAGTAGAGGAGTGTGTGAATGTGCAAATTATTTGCACACAAGCCATGCCCCATCAATAGTCGCCCAAGTCAACTAACGGCACGCAGTTATGGCGCGACAATTACATATATACAATTACAGTAATGATTGCAGTAATGATTACAGTAATGATTACTTTGGTGCAGTTCAAATGTTTGTCGCTGCAATCCTTTCACCTGTGACCTCTACAGTTATGTGCTTATATATGTGCATTTATTCAACCATAGCTGTGTTGTGTGCGTGTGCCCTTCGTGCTTTGACCTGCATTTGATTTGGTTGCTTTTAATTAAATTTGAATTCTTTCCACTTTCTCTGACTATTATTTTCGCAAGTTGGCAACAGTTTTAACTACTCCGTTATGCTGCTTTCATCTGTCTATCAAGCGCAGCTAGAAATTTAACTACGAGCCTAAGCAAATATTCAATTACTTTTCGTTTGCTTTTCCAAAACGCATTGCACTCAGTTGAGTTGTTGTATTTATGCAGCGGAAAGTTGTTGTTAGTTCTGGGAAATTTTGGCTTTGATAGTTTTCGCAAAAATTTGTATGTTTGTAACAACACAGTTAGTCTCGAATGCCTATGAACTCATTCACTTAGCTGCTGTATTAAAATGTGTGTCGTTTTTCTTAGCTGAACTGCGTTCACTAGTCCATCACGTGGGCAGCAGTTCAGCGTCCTTTGGCTGCCAGTTGCACAATTGCGCAAAGTTTCTGCCTTTTACACACCCAAATCATTCCCCAAACCGTCCCCTTAATGCTTTGCATTTATTTAATTTTAAGGTTTTCGCTCAAACTCATTAAACTTAAAGGCAACTCATTATAAATTTTGACACGCGGTGCAGCAAATCAACAAGGCAAAGCATTTATTCGCATTTGGTAATTACTAAAATGAATTTTGCAGCGAAATTATAACATTTTTGAACTAAGCTGGATTTACAAGCATAAATTTTCGGACATTTCCAGCGCTGATTTTTGTCTCAATGAAGTTGTCTATGAAAATAATTATTTTTCTAGTTCGAGTCTCGAATATAACTGCGCTTTCGACAGCAGTACTTTTAGAAAAGCCTTTGGTTAGACTGCTGTTTACTTCAACTAGCAGGTTTGTAATAGCTTCCAGTAATTTTTTCATTCTATGAGGAAATTAGTAGAAGAACTGTTCGATTTCAAAGATACGAATTTTTGAATTTTTGCAAAATTATTTTTTTATATTTTTTCAACTTTTTTTGTTGAATATCATTATTCCATCACATGATTATCGCAATTTGAGATCATAAATACTTTTCTTATGTAAATTTTTTTTTTTTTGTTTCTATTTTTATTATTTCTACATACTATTAACATAAGAAAAATATTTTAGATTATTAAAAGTTGAAAAAAATTGAAAAAAAGCTATTTTGCCAAACTTAAAAAATTCATATATTTGAAACGAAAAAGAACACCACTCAGATAATTTAAGAATTTCTTTAGATATGTTAGAGATATATTGTAATATAAAAAATTATGCGCCCAAAATTTTTCCGCGATGGTTACTTTTTACAATTTTGAAAATTACAAAAATTAAAAAATTTTGAAAAAAAAAATTTTTCCGATACCTCTAAGTGTCCTCTGAAAACGCAGCAGTGTTATTTATTTAATAAACAGTAGTTTCTGAAATATTATAAAAATAAACACATAAAATCGGAAAACAGTGAAATTTTCAATTTAAATTTTTTTTTTTTAAAATTCCACCAAAATTCATTCGAATCGGTGGGAGTCGCATACAACTATTTGTCGATTTTACATGGAATGACCTATTACAATTAGTTGTGTTACACCAAAAAAAGTAATTAATTTGCACACTTCTAAGCATTCGCAGCACGAAGCCTAGAAAACAACAAAACGCAAGTGAAGCCGAGAAAAAAGTGCACAAAATTTCCGTTAAGCAAGAGGTTCAATAAATTTCATTTCGTGACAATAAAAATCGGCGTGTGACACCACTTCTAGCACACAGCTTCCTTGCAACAAAGTCTAAGCACTTAATTTGCGCTCTATATCCGTTTTCACTACGTAGGCTTTACGCGTTACGCATACAAAGCAGCGCTCAAGGCAAACGGCACTCAGCCCGCTAACCGAATTACCGCACAATTAAATGTTGCTCATACGCCCCCGGTCGTGCCTGTGCTATGGCGCGGCGCAAAGCGGCGAGCGCGGCAGTCAGGTCCAAGCGCTCAAAAATTACAATTTAATTTTGCTTTACGCTTTTTATTTGTAAATATGTATGTATGCATGCAAGGCTGTGTGTGTGTGTGCGTGTGTGTGCTTGCATTTTTCCAGCGTTTCAGCAGAGTTGTAGCAAATAAACGGCAAAAGAATCTACATATTTTAATTTGCTGTGTGTGCGTGCGTGCTTATGTGTGCGGCAGCGCAATGCGAGGCTGTTGCATGTTGCATGCCACTAGTCATACGACGCGTGGGCGGCTTTAACTGTGCGGCTATGCAATGAATGCGACCGTAACATGCTTGTAGCTATGAAGCGCTGCGCTCACCTACACAACGGTGCACTTATGCACGCACACACACACTCACATTCGCGCGCATTAGTTGTAAAAATCAGCGCTGCGGCGCTGGGCATTCAGCATGCTCACTCACTGGATTTTTAGTGTTTTTACTTTTGAGTCTGGCTTTTGCTTGCTATTTGCGCTGTGGTGCGGCAGTTGTGGCAACAGCAAATGTTTTTGCAAGTACGTGTTATCGCTTCCCAAGCATTTGGCGGCGTAAGCTTGCTTCAAATGTCAATTTTTTGCCCACCTATTTGTCTTGCGCTTAATTTATTTGTTTACATTCACATGTTCTACCGCCACTTCGCAGCCGCAAGCATAGGCTATGCTTGCACAAACCTTGCATATGCCTAAAATCTTATTAACTCTACACTCGTAAACCAATTTGACAAACACAACTTTATTTTAGCTCTCCCCCGCTTACGCCGGCTATACCGTTACGCCGTTGCCTCACAAAAAGTCACGTGCAGCCAGGACATGCGCTCACGCCGCACAATTGACGAGCCTACCATAACCGCCGACTCACGCCACACGCCACACGCATCGGCTGCTTTGTTTTGCTATCTTTCTGTTTCTGTTTTCGTACGCATATTCTCCGCCAGCAACAACTCAAACACCCACTGCTGCCTGCCTCACGGTCTCAGCTGTTGCCACAGCCAACGTTGGCCAATGCACAGCAACAACAACAACAAAAATGATATTGTTTGCCTGTGTCGTGCTGCGTCGCTTGCCTCTCAGCGCTCGGATTTTCGTGCTAGCTGTACGGCATTCACAGCTCGTCAATCGCCGCCGGCATCGCATACCAACTCAATCAGTTTATAAACAAACTCACACAGCGCCACAATTTTGCTTTACTGGTGTGCGTGCATACGCGTACATATTTGTGTGTTTCGCCTGTTCGTCGTGCAATTGTTGCTCTAAATGCATTTGTTATGTGCTGTTGTGCCGCTCACACACTCGTCGTCCATCGCGCTCACTCGCTCGTGTGTTGTTACACCCTGCGCCGCTTCATGTCATCGCTACTTGCTTTTGCAACTTCGGTAAGGCGTTCGTTTTAGCGCTCGTTCATATTGGTGTGTGCGTGTGTGTGTGCTTG